ATTGCTGGCTCCGAGGCCTCAGCATTCTCAAGCTATACCACGAACAGTGTATCAGCCGACTTAAGAGAATGCTCGAACTGGTTGGCCAACACACACAGCGCGCTGGGACGTTCAGGCGTCTGTGTTTCAGTGGGCAAAGTATCATTGACTTGCCACTGGATTGCCTTTCCGTTCTTGTTGAACGAGACAATGTTGTACTGGAAGTCCAGAATGACTTCGTTGGCTCGCAACCAATCCATGCCCAGGATGAGATCGACACCTGACAAAAGTGGTAGGACATACACGCGAACTGTTTCTCTATAGTCCTGTACATTCATGTCGATATGTGTCTGTCCTTTACTTGGAATGACACGATCGTCACCCAAGCGGATGGGACATGACGGTCCTTCAACGAGGACATTGCGTTTCGTGACCCAAGTTTCATCAACAAGGGAGACCGACGCGCCTGTATCGACGAGAATCCTTGCTTCATCCCCATTCATGCGTCCAGATAATAGTAAATTCTGTTGGAATCTTGGACGGATGGGACAAGCAACAACAAGTTTAGGAGGTCGAAAGTACACCCTAAACTTGTTGTGAGCACGTCCAAACCTTTGGGATGTGGTCCACCAAACATGGTGCCCTTTGTCCCATGTTGCCAGGATATGCCATTCGTGAAATCGACGGAACAACTCTCCTCTCACGATTCGAGTCACCAATCCCACTGACGTGAGCGGGTGCTCTTGGACACAACGGTCCACAATATCCATGATTGCTGGCAACTCGTTGAACGAGCAAAAGATGATTGAAAATTTATCTCTCAAGGATTCAATTGAGATGTTTTCAAGTGGGTACGATCGAGTTTTAAAAACAGATTTTTCATTAATAGAAGAGGCATACAAACAAGCGATTTTGCATGATGCAAGCTTCTCTAGCTTTAGCAAATCCTCATCACGAAGGACATAAGCCCCATCTACTCGATCTCGCTCACCAACTAGGTACCCACCCCCTAGTTGGATTTCGGAAAATCCTTCGGGCCCGAATGGCCAGAACCATCCGACTTCTTGCCCTGGTTGGGCTTGCTGGAGTTCTTGACGGACTTCCTCCAACGGCAGTGATAGGACTTGTGGCCGAGCTTGCCACAGATGCGACAGCCCGCCGGGGGCTTATCCTCATCCTGAGGATCCTTGGCAGGCCCAGCATGGGCCCTCTTGGACTGAGTCCCAGAGGATTCCCCCCTCTGCTGATAGGGCCTCTTCCAAGAGCCACCGTCCCTGTGTGCCTGAGTCCTGTTACCACCCCCCCTAGGGCCTTCGGCACTAGGCTGCTGCTGAGCACGAGCGTGAGTCATGTACGCACGGAAATTCACATCCGTATCTATGACCTGCTCTTTGCACTCCTTGTAGGTCCTCCACTGGTGCTCCCCGCGCACAACATGCACACGCTTGATGTGCTCAGGGAGTCCCTTGAAGAACTGGTGGATGACCTCGCTCTCAGGAAGAGCAGTCTTCAGCAACGACAGAGTTTTCTCAAACTCCTTGGCGTACTCGCGTACAGGCTGGTCACCGCACTGGATGTTCTCCAGGCGGCTACGCACCTCGAGCGCCGGGGGCTGACTCAGGAATGCCGCCAACATGGCAGCTTTGAACTCCTCCCAGCCAAAAGGATGACCATTAGCCTCTGCGTGGCGCTTGTTGGCATACACCAACTTGCTCGCAGTGTCGTCCAGGGCAAGGGTTGCAGCGACCACGCGAGCCTCGCTACGCACATTGTGGATGGACATAAAGTCCTCCGCAATGGAAAGCCAAGTCTCGACGTCGGTCTTGCCATGGACAAAACGAGGCAGGGCCGAAGGGCAGGAGCCAAAGGCATTTGCAGCTGCAGCAGGAGGCTCAGCACGTGCTCCAGAAGGAGGAGGAACAGCAGGAGGTGCAGCAGCAGGTGCAGCATGGCTGTTAGCGGCATTGGCGACTCGCTCTGCTGCAGGAGCAGGCTGATAGAGGTTGCCACGCCGGATCTCCCTGTACTGAGCCTGAAGCACAGAGATGTTTTTCTCTTGCTTCTTGAGCTGATCCTGCACAAACTGGAGAGTGGTCTGCAGGTCCTGAATGAAGCTGGAGGTGTCGTTTTCCTTAGGGATCAACTGTACCTCCCTGGTCAGCTGCTCAATCAAGGCCTGAAGCTTAACAGAATCAGCCTCCAAGTTCTGGATACGGCACTGTTGCACTCCAATGAGAATATTCTGCTCCGTGAGTTGAGTCTGGAGTTTGACAGCAATGTTCTCAGTCTCGTTAGAGACACCCTCATCAGAGCCAGCCTCATCCTCATCTTCAGCATCAGCCTCAAGGTCAGCTTCACTTCCATTGATCTCCATGTCAACCACGAAATCCTCAAGGTTGAGATCAATGTCAGCAGCAGCAGTAGCATTATCTCCCTCATTGCCAGCAACGGGCACCTCCTTAGTAGCATCCATCTCTTGACCAGAAGCCATGAAACAGGTTAAGGAGAGGAGATCTCAACAGATCTTATAATAATCTTTAAGAAATCTGATTACTCTTATAGAATAATCCAATACAGAATCTCTTAAGATTGACTTGTTTGCCAAATCTCTCTATCACCTCAATGATAGAGCAAGATATACTCAAGAGAGTAATCCTCAACAAGTCCTTTTAGATCTGAAGGTACACTCTTCCACCCAAGGTAGATCAAGAGTCTTCCACCAAAGGTGGGTAAGAGAAATTAATCTCTTCAAATATCTTCTCTATGTTGATGAAGAAGAAGAAGCTCCTTGCAGATCTTGCACTCCAATGAAGAGTTGAAATAGTTGTAGCTTGGAGTTTATAGATCTTTGGAGAAGCTTTTGTAGCTCTTGAAGAAACAGTTGTAGATCCTGAAATTTCTTCAAAATCTTCACTGCTCCTTGGATAAAATCCTAGATCCACAATCTAGGATCCTCTAAAAAAAATATATCCAAGTAGCAAATGGCCACACAAGGCCAAGGAAGAACCTTGCTCTAGATACCAATGTAATGCCCAAGCCTATTATAATGGCGGTTACAAGGCTTTTATATTATTCCCATACAAATTAGTAGCTCTAACTAGCTTTAATAGCCTTGGAGATGAAGATCTTCTTGATGCATTTGATGGAAAACACTTGGAATAGTAGTGTAGGGAAGCTTGTGATAGAGCCAAAATGACTTAGCCAAATAATCCCATTTCCAATTGTTTAGTTGGAGTGGGAGGTTGAGAATGAGCTTGCCCAGCTCAGACCCCCTCAATACACCCCTTGGGGAACTATCCCAACCATGGTTTCCATGGTGGGATGGTTCCTAGGCTTGGAGCCTATGTGGCAATTAGTTGGGATGGAAAAACCCAACCTAGAACCATTGAATGGTTGTTTTTAAGATAGAGTAGATTGTTACACTGAATTGGCAGTTTCTGATTGGTTGGAAATCCAACCTTCAACATTCCACTTTGATGGTTTGGAATTTCCCAAACCTATTGGTTGAGGTTTGGAATTCCCAACCCAACCCTTTCTCTCCCAACTCAACCTTCACTCACTCGTAACCCAAATAACTATCGAGAGCAATCTCGACGAATGCCTTCTGAGTGTTAGGTTGTTAGCTAGGGAGTTAGGCGAGAAGTAGGTCGATGCGTTACACTGTTGACCTGGTCAATGCGGTTGGCTCTGTTGACGCCACCCGGCGAACTCAAAGGCCCATGACGCATCAAGACTATTTTGGCAGGGCAACTCTGTCAGTGCGTGGCGTGCACGGCTGCAGCACCGCCCAGAAACTTACTACGTGCACAACACGCCGGTCCGCGGCGGAAAGAGGTCCATGCTGGTGCATGTCAATCCCGCTGAGGGGAGGGACGAGCCGCGGAGCGACGACGAACGGAGCGGCAAAGGCGGCGGCAGCAGGCGTTTTCGAGGACTATCAAAGGCTGCTGCATGCATATCTGCCCGTCGCGGGTGTTTCTGAGGAATCTCTAAGCTTGGTGCGTGCATACCTGTTCCCTGCTCCACACACGAAACGCGCCCGTCTGTCAACAGCGGTCCCATCATGCAACTACTACTACCCATCACTGTTGGAGCGGGCGGCCTCTGGCAAATCGCTCAGAAGCGGGACAGCTTATACGGGGTACAGTGACGCCGTGAGGTTCGAACTGGACTTCTCGCTGCCGGCGACTTTCGGAGCCATTAGTGGCGGGAGGCCAAAAGCACACTTGCTGATAACGACGGCGAACGACATGAACACGGTGGCCGACGTAGTCGGGACGGAAACGACGAGCGGCACAGCTGTCGCAAACCCTAATACTACCAGCACCGCCGCCGCCGCTAACCCTTGTACGCATGGTGAGCAGCAGATTTTCGGCTTGCGGAGCAGCGGGGATGACTCTCGGCCCGAGACAACTCAGCGCACACCTCAGCTAATGGAAGTGCAGCAGGAGGGCGTAGAGGACGGGTGCTCGAATAGCGCGGAAAGGATCAAAAGTGGTGGAAATTTGACGGCGATTGGAGGAGAATGCGGGAGAGAGGAGAGGACGAGGCAGGACGAGTAGGGCTAGATTCACATCGAGGATAAATCGATTTTGTTGAGTTCAAGGTGTTACAGTTTTCTAGGCTATCAAACGGGGAAACAAAGTGCACTCAATTTAGAAAAGGAAGACACAGCTTTTCACGATTGGGAACCGGGAACTGCGGCGTAGATGAAGGAGAAAGAATTTGTTTATCATACACATCTTATAATTTACATGGCATGGCAGTGAGTACCGAATGGCAAAGCTGTTAGAAAAGGAAAGCAAAGAATAATATCACTAGGCAATAAACAAAGATTTACACCAAGCAACATGGCATCGTGGTCAAATAATCAATTGAGACATTGAAGGGGAATCTAATAACATTTCAAGCAGGGATGAGTGCGATTCACACTTCCTGGTTCGTCATTTCCCAAACCACTTGCCACTCCCTGCCTCAAACTCTGACTTCGTCCGTCGCGCCTCTCCGGCAGCAATGGCAGCCTATGCTAATGAAGCAGCAGGCATCATCGCCCCAGCAGCACGGGAATGCTGACCTGGAACGACCCACATCTTGCCAGCCGGCTGGCTCTGACCATGCCACGTCATCCAGTTTCGGGGCCCAGCAGAAGAGAGTGGAACGAGGTGAGCATGTTGCGGAGGTGTGGGGTAGGGATGGAGTGAGGAAGGTTGGGAGGGGTTCTGGTGGTGAGGGTAGGAGCAGGCATCTGGAGCAGAGCAGCAGGGTAGGAAGCAGGCAGTGAAAGGGAACATGGCAGAGTAATGGGGGGCGTGTGGGGACTGGCGGAATGGAGGAAGGGTCGGTGACGGCTGCAACAAGTGAGGAAAGGAGGGAGGCATGGCAGGGAATGCTGCTCGCGATGACGGAGAGGAGCGGGTGTGAGGAGGGTGAGGGAGAGCAGCAGGCGGCGGCGGCGGAGGAGGAGGAGGCGGAGCGAGGGGAGGGGGGTGCAGCGAGCTGGTCCCGTGAGCATGGGGCGTGGATGAGGTTTGCGGAACAGAGGTGGGGGTAGCAGAGGAGCAGAAAGAGGCAGTGAGGGAGGTGGCGGAGTGGGAGTGCACGAGGAGAGTCGAGGCCGCGTGTGAGTGGGATGGAGCGTGAGAGATTGAAGCTGCTGGGTGGGTGGAGTGCGAGGAGGAAGGGGACAATGAGGAGAAGGAGTGGGTGGAGGTGGGGGTGGGTGGCGCCATGAATAGCAGCTTGGCAATCACACGGTCGACAGCGTTGGAGTCAGGAACAGGGCTGTTGGACTGGGCTTCGGAAGCGACTTGCTGCTGCTGCCCGAGTTCTTGTTTCTCCTGCTGCTGTTGCTGCGCGTGTGGTTGACGCTGCTGCTGTTGCTTTCCACTGGCAGTGACAGGCGTGACAGGGGAGGCAGCATCCGCAGTGGCAGTGGGATTCAAATCCTCCTGGCCTGTTTGAGAGGTGCGGCTTGGCGCATTGGGGTTGGCAGCTTCGCCAACAGAAGGCACAGCAGAGACACTGGTTGATCTTGACACAGCCACCGCAGCAGCAACAGCAGTCTCAGAAGCGTTACCGCCAGCAGCAGAAGGATGACGCAGAGAAGCAGCAGGAAGAGCGGTGGTGGCGGTGGCAACGGATTGCATCATGACACGGGTTTGAGCGCTGGTGGCAAGGCGGACAAGGGCAGTGCGAATGCAGTCACGGGTGTTGGCGTCGAGCTGGAAGGAGCGAGCTGCACAGGGGTAAGAAGATGCACAAAGGAATCCGTTAGAGGAGAAGCGCAACGACTTAAATCCCATGGACTGAGATTACAAAGAAGGAGAAGAAGAAGAAAAGACAGCAAGCAAGGTATGGAGCAAAGCTACGATGGAAGGAAACGGACCAGCAGCACTGTGAGATACTGAAGAGAGGCAAGCAGAGAAAGAGGCGGGCACCAAGCAAGGAAGGAGAGGCTGGGAGGGAGCCCTCACCTGAGCAATGGTAGAGTAGAGCTGGCCCAAGGTGGCAGACTCAATGTCCGTGGCTGCATCCCTGCCGTCCATTGAAACAGCCCGTTCCACCACTGGCCCTGCTCCTCCTGATGACGATCTTGCTGACGCTCTTGCTGCTGGGTCGCCACAAGCAGTCGCACATTGCAGTGAGGGCTCCTTCGCCTGAGACCCATCCTGCTGTTCCACCTTCACTGCTGCTTCTTCCATGGTCGCATCCTCTGCCTTTGCTTCTCCCTCAGGCGCTGACATCACTGTCTCATCCGCCGCCTTGAGACGTTTGCTTCGCCCCTCTCCAGCTGCGTCCGTTCCACCCGCCTCCACCTCCTCCTGCTGCTGTGCCTCACGGGCCCTCTTACCCTCGTTACAATCACGTCCTATTTGGTTTCCACTCGAGTCTGTTGCTGCAGCAGCAGCAGCAGCAGCAGCAGCAGCAGCAGGTGGGGAAGGAGGGAGTGAGGCATCAGCCTGGACAGGACGAGAAGATTCACCCGGGTTTGACGTTTCGCGTGCGGTGGTGGCGGCAGCTGCAGTTGGTGCCGCTGCATCACCTGATGCACTGCCAACAGCGCCAGCAACAGCGCCAGCTGGCTGCGTGCCACCTGATGCACTGCCAACAGCGCCAGCAGACGTGCAAGGGCGGCTGTCGCCGCTGCGGGTCGTGTCATCCCCGCATGCTTCTTCCTTCACGCGTACAGCAGGTTGTGCTTCTGTCCCGCTCGTTCTGTGCAAATCCAATGGCTGCTCCTGCCGCTCTGCTTTCGGCCCCTCGTGCTGCTTCTCCCGCTGCTGCTTATCCTCCTGTTGCTGCTGCTGCTTCTGTTGCTGCACGCGCATCAGCTGCTGCTGTCGGTGAAACAGATACATCTGTCGACCCAGCAGTTGCTGCTCCTGCTGCGAGCTAGTACCCTGCTGGGCCTGACGCATCCACATCTGCTTACTCATCCACCCACCAGCGTGCTGAGCACCTTTCGCGCTTCCTGCTGTGCCTGCGAATCCTCCTCGCTCTCCTCGCGTGGGAGGCAATGCCACCGCCGCCGCCGCAGCAGCAGCAGGAGCACGAACAGACGCAGGAGTATAAGCTGTAGGTGCAGATGCAGCAGATGCAGTCGGAGCTGATGCTGCTGATGCAGCCGCGTGCAGCCTGGATTGGTAGAAGAATGCAGGAGGGTATGGGTGACCCATGCTGCTTCCCGGGAAGAACGCGGGTGCTGGCATCATGGTGCCTCCAGGGAAGGACATGAGAGCGCGAGCAGGCATGCGAGCAGGCACTGGGCCAACGGCAGCATTTGCTGAAGATGCTTCTAAGGATGCGCTGACAGCTGCGTTGACGGGTGCGTTCAGTGCAGCAGATGCAGGGATCCGAGTTGGCGTTGATACCTTCGCTGCAGCATTCGCGGCTCCTGGCACGGCACCGGCTGATGCGCCAGCAGCACCAGCCCCCGCTACCTCGCCAGTGGCGCTAAAAGCAGAACCAGTGGCGCCAGCAGCGGCAGCACTGCTTGCAGAGGCCGCGCCACCAGCAGTGCCAGCTAAGAAGCTTGCAGGCATGGGGGGAAGGGGAAGCGCGGCTGCGGGATAGGCCTGGTGGTAGTTGGGGAAGAAGGGCAGGCGCGGATAGGCCGGCAGCCCGCGCTGCGCGGATGGCGCGGGCGCGGGCGCGAGTGCGGGCGCGGGGAAAGGAGTGTGGCCGGGCGGGAATGGGAGGCCCGGTTGGGAGGGGTACGGGACGGTGCGATGGGTGGGAGGGGCGGGTGGGAAGGCGCAGGGATGGGAGGGCGACGGGGACGAGGTGGCGGCGGGAGCAGCGGGGGAGAAGGCGGGCGACGAGGGGACTCGGCGGAACGGTGACGGCCGAATGCTTCGAACGGGAGTGCCAGTGGAATTAGGAGGAGTGGGGGTGGAGCGGGCAGAAGTGGGGTTGGTCCGCGGAGGGGTGGGGTTGGAGCGGCGAGGAGTGGCATTGATTATTATCTTGGTGGTACGTGTGGCTGTGGTGGTGGTGGCAGAAGCGGTAGCTGTAGCGGCAGGAGCGGACGATGCGGCAAGAGCGGGTGGGGAGAATGAGGGAGAAGTGCGAGTGGAGGACGATGCAGGGCTACCCTGCTGTTGTTGTTGTTGTTGCTGGTGCTGCTGCTGTTGATCTTCTTGCTGCCGTTGCTGTTTTTCTTGTTGTTGCTGCTGCTGCTCCTGCTGCTGTACCCTTTGCATCTGCATCTGCTGGATCTCCACTTTCGACCGTGTCACAGCATCCCGCGTGGCCTGGACAATACACAAAATTTACCCGTCAGCTCCATTAAAAAAAAGGTTACGCGTCAACGTCCCTCACGTAACGCGAACGGCTACATAAGCGCAACTCTTATCTAACTCACCTGCAGAAGCGACAAGCGTTGCGGAATGCTGCCGCGCGGAGGCGACGGCGACCGAAGCACAGAATCGCAAACTGTGTTCGCACAATAAGTGTCAACCGTGTCGCGAGCCCTCTCCGTGCCACCTCTCTTCGTCGCCTCCGCAACAGCCGCAAATTTCGCGAGTTTCGCGTTCTCGCCGTCGCCTTCGCCTCGTCGCTCCTCAAATTCGCCTTCCCCGCGGCGACGCTCGTCTTCGAATACCGCAGCCGGCCCTTCCCAAAGCAGCTTTCCCGCGTCCGCCGTAGCGGCGTAGGCCGCGGAAGCGTGAATGTGGGAGAGGATTCCCGCAATGGAGGACTGTGCGAGATGCTGGCCTGTCGCAGAGCCGGATTGGGAGTGCTTCGCGGGCTGGTACGAGGATCTGACGCGGCGCGACAAGAACATGTGAAACAATGGAGGAGGAGAGATTTGAGCGAGATGCATGACTTCGTCCTTTGAAAAAAGAGATACTGGAAAAGAAAGAGCGGGATGCGATGCAAGGTTGGCAGAAATGAGACGCCATGAGACGAAGACGCCGTGTCGCACCTGAGAATTGCCTCGAGATTGCCGGTGTGGTCGCACGCATCCCACGACGCGCCAAGAACGTCGTCTCCCTCCAAAAGGTCGCCGTCCATGCCGCCGTCCATGTCGCACGGGCCAGCCAGATGGTCGCCGTCAGGCACGGCATTTCCGCCAACCACGTCGCTCAGCTCCATGAGCGTGAACGCATCTTCCGGCGTGCATTGCGGAGCGCCGGTAAGAGCGCATTCGTCGATTTCTTGATGGATTTGGTCGTGAGGCTGAGTAACGGCGGAGGCTTCCGAGGCAGACGCGTCGTTCGGGGTACCAGGAAGAAAAACTTCGGATTTTCCACTTTCGGTCGGCGACATGCTGAATGTGGGGTTCTGCGAATGCGGAAAACCATTTTCGCTGAATGGTCTAGGCGTTTTCTGCTCGTGTCTGTCAGACTCCGAATGCGTTGCCTGAGCAGGTGTCCCGTGTGCAGCATCGTGCGGAGCGACCGGCTCCTCAGCACCGAATGCCTCCCACACTCGGTCATCGAACTGCGATGCGAGATGTTTAGAAACAGGAAGGGAGAAACGAAGGCTGTTGTCACGAGCGTACCAAAAGACTGCGAATTCTTCAATCAATTTGGGAATACAGCTGATAGGAGGCAGCAGAACAAGGAAAGAGTGAATGTGGCTACGTTCCGGTGCTCGCAAGAGCTACGTATGGTCGAATTTCATGTAAGAACACATGCTGCTCGAAGGACCGCAAGTAAGATGCACAGGACGGTAATCTGATGATTATGCGAAGGACATGATTCGAGCACAACTAGAAATTGTTCTCACCAAAGGAATTCCTTGAATTGTTACGTCTCCTTCATCTGACGGCCAAATTGGCGTGGCCATGATATTCTTCGAAGGTCCGTCAGAGCAAAACTCGAGAACAAATGTGCTCGGATCGAATTAGAACCGAGCTCTCTGCGGAATCAAATCAGCTAAAATGTCAGTGCAAAAACGGCAACGCCAGTCAAGAATAGCTGTGGACCCGCGTCAAGGAAAGCTAGCAAGTGAATGACTCCTAAGAATTTTGCTTGAGCTCGTGAGACACAGCCTCGGAAGAGCTCTTCAACAAATTGCTGATTGAGCTTGAGTGCTTCTTTACGACTGTCAAAAGGTCCCCCATGAAGCATGGTTGTGGAAAGCTGCCGACAGAAAATCGCTCGTAAGCACCGCATGCGAAGCATTGCGAACACAGCTATTGAGCACAGAAACAGTCGCGAAACCCTTGCGATTGATTCATGGCGAGACTCTTCATGGTAAATGATGGCACGGACTAGCGAAAACGTGGGAAGCAGAGCCAAGTCTACACAGATAGTTGCCCATAAATGAACAACTTTCCAGGTTGCACCTCGATTGATACCCTGGTCACGATGACCCACGAAGGTCCCAGATTTTGGACGTGGAGTTTGAGAAACCGAGATGTGGTTACTCCCAGCGGACAGCAGGCAGAGAGTAGGACGCTCTTCCATAAAACTGGGACCGCCACGTTTACCAAACCGCAGTCTGGGACTTCTTCACGGCTTTGTTCGGGCACGGACTGATTGGGTTTTGAAACAAGCCGTGCACTCCGGAACCACAACCTGATGGAAGGACATGCGAAGTACACTCGTCCTTTTTGTGATTGCTTGGCTGTGCTTCACTGTCTACAGCACATTCAAATATATTTTTTGTTGGTCAGCGTCAGTTGGTTTGACCATCTCGGTACTGTACTAAAATCTGCCTCGTCTGTAAACAATCTTCCAGCAAGATCGGAAAAAACAAGCTCGGCCAACATTGACCACGCAGCCGTCAGAAAACTTCTCAAGGGATGTTTACAGTGTACACGAAAATTCCTTCCCTCCCATTCACATCACCAGCACAGATGTGCTGCAGAGCGGAGTCCCACGTCAAGGCTGATTTTCAGCATTGCACATTGTTAGTGAAATGGGGAGTCTCCACATGACCCCGCACGTTTCAATAATTGTTGTAAAATAATTTGTTGGGTTGCCCGCTGGCTGTGTGCGAATTGTTTGGAAGAGAATCTCGTGGGCTTCGTTTGGAGGAAGCGAAGAATAGAACCGACGAAACCAAATGCCAAGTTGCACTTTTGAAATGCATGAGCCGCAATCTCGGTAAGGTTTTCGCCGAATCAGGAAGTGCTCAGTTGAAGGGCAGGGTTGTGAGCTGAGATGCCAGGGAGGCAGAGCTGCTCACGTGCCTGTTGCCACCATCAAGGCCAGCTGGAACCAAGGACAGCGAACACAGACCACAAACGAGAAGAGGCAGAATGAGAGACAAACTTTCCCCATACAGTGTGAGTCGGTCAATGCCCAGCACCGTGATATAACCTACTGAAACACAATAAACGCAAATATACCGTGTACGACCTCTTGTAGGTCGCATTTTTTATATCTGTTTCCCAACATGGTCTTGTTCTGCTGCAAGCCTCGTCCTCCCTCGTCCTACAGATGTCTGTCCATCATGCCAGTCAACTGGAGGAGCACGTAAGTCCATGGTGCAGAAGAGGGATGTCTTTCTTGTTTGAGAAGCCACGTCTTTGCGTCCTTGTCCAGTTGCTCTGCTTCTGGCCATTCTGCTCAGTTCGTGAATCACACGAAAATGCCAGTCCTGCTTTTCTGTGCTCTTCGAAGCAGCAGCATTGAGAAAGCACACTGTATAGTAGGTGTTCAAGTTCAGGGTAGGCAGATCCTGAGATTTGCTTTCGAGATTTCCGGCTGCAAGACGGCTGGCACGAATTCAGTCACTGTTTTATATTCATGTCCTTTTTGTAGCATATGATGGACCATGCAACATTTTTTCCCAACTCCTTCGCTAAGCGCGCCAGAAAGAGAAAATCACGAACGAGAAAATGTCCTAGAAATCTGGGAACTGATTGCTCGGGGGGAGGTGCAGTAGCAACCTTGCACGAGACCTGGAAGGAGAATTTCTTCTGTTCCAAAAACTACGCAAACGCCGATGGTCACGAGTGTATTGTGCTCGACTCTTCCACCCTCTCTCGAACCTTCATGAGAAACGCTTTTGGCACGATAGGCTTGATAATTCATCCTCCACATTCTCGTCTCTGTGCACTCAGTTTCATATCTGCAAGTGGTTTCTCAGCAATACCGTACTTCTCGAGATGTCCTCACGAGCTCGGATATTTCGCTGGTACACTTGTTCAGACCTTGGGCTTCGCCAGAAACCTCTTCGTCTGGTGAACAGCCTTATTTGTGGAATAAGCGCTGCTCGTTCAGGACAAACACGTGGGTATATTTGGCGGGAGAACTCACGACAGATAGAAACGACAGAAGAGCATTTTTTCAAATTACCCAATATGTTTAGGGTTTGTTGAGTATCTGCGCACTTGCTCCGAGGTGTGTTATTCGAATCTCCATCAGCCCTTGTGTTGCCCGCAAGATTTACCCATCATCCGTTAGATACGCCACCACTACCGCAAAATCTATCATTCGTCCTTATCCCCGTTATAAGGACATTGCTTGGCATTTCTCCCACCTCAACCTTCGAGGAGGGGAGGAGAGAAGAGTTTATTTTACGCGTGCAGTTCTGTGCATGCCACCCACGTGATTCAGGTGAAACTGGTTGGATGCGCTCTGATCTGTCTGACTCGCGGACAAACACGGCGGTGGCTTTGGCGGCATCCCACGACCAAACGATAATTATCGTCACAGACTTTGTTATGTGGCAGTCAGCCTTCTCTTCTCAGTCACCAACGCGACAATCGTGGCGACACAGAAAGGCCGGCGGAAAGTGAAGGAAAGGGGTTCCAGAAGAAGGGAGGAGAGAAGTAAGGGGGAGAGGGAAGGGGCGGGAGAGGGGGTGGGGTGAGAGAGGGGGAGGTAGGGGGGGGAAAGGAGGAAGAGAGATGGCGATTCACGTGTTTCTCGCGAAGGAGGTACTATGCACAGCATATCTTACGATCACGCGAAGCTCTTGAATCTCGAATCTCCATCACCGCCGCCTCTCATCCGCAAGATTCCGCACCATACGTCTCGAATCTACAAAATCGTCCACCGATCTCGACCCGAGAGCCCCTCCCAACTCCGCCTCCCAGATCAACCCCCCAACCGATCCCCTCCTCCCCCACCCCACCCCTTTCCCGTCCCAGCCGCATTCCCCGATGGTTGCTCGCCGGGGATGAGGAGCCACAAGTTTGTGAGTTCAACCCGCTTCGATGACGGGTGGTAGCACAGGCTCAGTGGCTCAGTCGGACTGTGATAAGAACACCACTCCACAGTCGGACTGTCAGTCATGCGTTCCTTCAGAGTCATTCTCCTTCTCAGAAAACGCTAGCAGGTTTCGACCACTCAGTCATTTACCGAGCCGTCACCGTGACAGCCTCCAAAACACACATCTCCCACAGCGACCGGCGGCATGACTCCGTCCGACGAGTCGTCATCGTCATCGTCATATTTCTCATCATCGGCGCCTCCCTGCGGTCCGGTTGCCGCGCCGCTCATCTCGTCGGCGCCGCGTTTTCAGGCGCTGCCGCGGGCGGCGCGTGATGCGCCCATGGTCTCATCATCCGCCCGTGGGAGCCCGACGAGGCGGATCTCTGTTGGGCTGAGAAAAGCCCTTAGGATCTTTCAGGACTAAGATCAGGTGTTGACGTAGAGATGTAATTGCGGAAGCGTTAAATAAGAGTTTGCCTTGAACCACCTTGTACTGGTGTGTGAGAACAAGATAAGTTGAATAATAGCAAAGAGATACAAGCCTTTTATATGATTACAAGGAATATGAAAAGTTCTACTTTAACTGTTTTGCTGTTGCGGTTCGATACAGTGCCGACTCGGGTAACTGCTCAGTAACGAGTCAGTTATGTGTCCTTGCTGTCGCACTGTACGTTTTGTCAAGTCAAAGGTCGGAGACCTTTGACCTTCGCGTAACCTCCGACGGTTGCCTTGGTTGACTCGAGTGCTTCTTCGCTGTAGTCAGCTCCGTTTCGTGTCGAGGCTTCGATACGACAGAAGCGTTTAAATCACTTGTTTCCAACACTCCCCTTCGCTTCTGGAGTATCGCTGCTGATGACGTATCCTTGTCCAGTCAGCAGCATGCAGTACTCGAACTTCTGTTTTCCGAGTTTCTTGGTCAAGTAATCAGCTGCCATCTCGGATGTGGGACAGTAGGATAGCTCGAGTCTTCCCTTTTCGATT